CACAAATCGAAGAGGCCATGAAATCTCAATCCGAGGGCCTCCGTCAGACATCCAGTCGCTTACCCAGCACGCATACGGAGGTCCCTACCGTCACCTTCCAAACAATTATCTTTGGTATCATGCGGCAACTTTTCAAAGAGATTGAAGAGAATTCGGAGAGAGCACGCGTATTTGCGCAAGAGTGCTCATCCCCCCAAACACACTCGGGGGAGACCCTCCATACCCTGTGGCCGAGAACATGGAGATTTCTCGTCGGAATGTCCTCTACGAAGACGGCTGTTTTGATCGCGAGGGGACGGAGAACGCATTTGTAAGTTGTCCCAGAAGCAACCCGGATTGGGAACTAACCCGAGCAGCGACGGCTTTTTCAAGCTGTTGAGAAGACAGCTAAGGGAATGGACCTTATAAAACTAAAGAGATATGCGAGTGAAAGCTTGAGAGAAATGGACGAAGATGCCACGGCGAGAACGAGCATGTAATAATATAAACTCGTCTTCTAACACTGGCTACTGCTACCTTGCGTTGCGCCGTAGCTACATTGCTGTACGCCGTCGCAGTAGAGAACACTACAAAATAGATCATTGAAATTAAAGTTGGAGGTCGCCTGTCTATGACCTCTTTTTGCGGAATTCGCGAGGAATCCTGAACTACTAAGCATTCCGCGCCAGACAATGTCACACTCTCCATTGTACTTCGTAAGTCGCTGCCCCTCGATCGGCTGGGGTGGACAGTCAGCGAGGCGCATGAGGACGTGCGCATGAGGACGTGTAGTTATTTGAGACGCCGAAATGCATATCCAACCGTCACCTGTCCAAATATCCGTGAAGGCTGCAAAGGCTGCGCCATGGTTTGCATGCGTCTCGAGTGATCGGAGCCGCTGGAGCAATTCTTCCAGCTCTTCCCCCCAACTCTCTATGACTTGTTAATTTCGCATTTCTCGTTCTCTTACACGCTCACAGATATTCTACTTGGAGACGCTTATTTTTACAATCCTTTCCCCGTTCATTAGTCAAGGAGGGCGGCCCCAAACAAGCTTGCAAGCCAAATGTCAACCCTCGCGGTAAGTGACATCAACCCAGGTGATACCGTAGACTGGAACGGCCTTAACTAACAGCAGAGTCCCTTTCTTTCTCTGCTCTAGCGCGAGAACAAATTAGCCCGAATTCGAGACAACCAGAGGAGATCGCGCGCCCGACGGAGAGAATATGTCCAGGACCTCAAACGGCGACTCAGAGAATACGAGACTCAGGGCATCGAGGCCTCTACCGAGGTCCAGATGGCCGCGAGAAGAGTAGCCGAGGAGAACAAGCAGCTCCAGGAGCTCCTCAACAGGCATGGCATTAGCGACGACCAAATAACCCGTTTCTTGCAGTCGGGCACCTTGCCACTTGATTCCAACCAAGGCCAACCCTTTCACGCCGAAGACCCTAGTGCCGCTGTCCAGTCGCTACAACGGCTCCTGATGCCGCGACAACTGGCCAGTCTAGATGAAGACTTCTCCTATATTTGTCGGGACAGTCGATTCGGAACCCTCCACCACCGAGGGTCGACGACAAGTTCGTCCGTCTGGGAGCCGTCGCAGCTCGTGACGTCCTCGTACGGCTATCAACATCACATGGGCATGGCTACTGCAGTCATGGAATCGGCTGTTCATTCTCCGTATCCACCGACAACCCCATTGAGTCGCGCGAGCACCACGCGACAAGGCTGCGTCTATGGCGGGCAACCGTCCCCGTCGATGCACGACAGTCCCGGCCAAGCCATGGTAACAACACAGCCTACGTCTACTGGCGGCCGTACGGTAATGCACTTGCATTATTCTGTGCCGACTTATCCAAACGCAGTGGTACCGCATTATGATTCCCTAGGAGCACCTGCTGACACGCGTTGACGAGGGTCTGCAGGGCGTATCGCCGATTCCATTGGTTGTTTTAAATATATATTGAAGATTGGCACTGTTGGCCATGCCCTTACCGATTCACTAAAGCTTTTTGATATCCTTCTGTCTGTGGACCAGGGCAGCCCCGTTAGGGAGGACCTGGAAAAGGGATTCCTGGCCTCTGTAGCAGTAACGCATCAGGACTTCCTGAGTAAGGAAAGCTACCCCTTTATGCGTGGGCACAGCCAAGTATGCACGGGTAGAGCCCCATACTCAGGAGGTCTCCAGAACTCCTAAGGCCTCCTGTATAAATAGCCCCTTCAGACTGCCCCTTTAGAGATAGAACATGCATCTTGAATCTAGCTGTGGTGACCCCCTTTTTCCGATGTGTATTGACACAACATTTCACCAACACCGTCATATAAGAGTAGAACAGACTTCCCGATTCCCTGTCGAGCTTCATTGTAGCCCCTGATGTGAGCTCCAGCAAATCATCTCGTGAGTCACAGCAATGCGACTCTAGCCGTCTAGTGGCATCTATCTGCCCGGTTTACTCATGCGCCTTCCTCCTCTGTCGGAACTGTGATCTACTAGTGCTTGGCTGATGCCTGCAAGCCGCCCCTAAGAGAGAATGCCTAGCAATTGGCCTTACTCTTTGGCCACCCTTCCATCAGATAATGCTCATCCTTGGCTGGAACACCGTCAGATTCTGCATCTATGCGCCGGTCATCCGACTCATCCCCTCTCTAACGTCATCAGCAAGCCAACTACCAAGCAAGAGTAGGGACAGACTTCCAAAGTGATTAGGTGGTCTTAGGCCAGACTAGCCCACAGGATCCCCCGTAGTGAGGGTCAGGGGGTGGACCTGAGGCAGGTTCACCCCCTGATCTCTACTCCCTCAGCTTAGTCCGAAGCAGGGCAATACATATTGAAGTAACGGAAAGTGGCGAGGCTTGCAGGGAGGCTGCCTGCGTGGCAAGGGGCAGGATGCTCACGTCGGGATTAACAGCTTCAAGGAGCGGGTCAAGTTGGTGAACAGGTGGTTGCACGACGTGATGGTCACATTGCGTCTCCAATCTGCAAGGCATGGTCGGTCGCATCTCGGAGAGGATTCGTAGGAAGGGAAGGTCGGCCCCAGGATCGTGCCCGGGGAAGCCGGTATGACCAGAGGGCGGTCTGAGGGGCGGTCTCGACTCGGCTAGAGCCGGCGTAGCTACCCGCTCCGTGGTGTCGTTGGCTGGGATATTTAACGCCGGGGAGAAGGGGTGTAAAGTTTGCAATGGAGGGCGTGGGAGGTGCAAGACGACGATGAGGCCGGATTCTGGCCACTTGATGCACCTCATATTGCCTTGTTGCTCTAGCCTGTAGCATCAGCGAGATATACTGTATCCTGCACGGCTGAATGAAAAGAGACGTGCAAAGAGGCTGGGGAAGGCGAAATTGACAGGGAAGGATGGGTGCGACGGGAACCGCGATGCCCATATCGGCACAACGGGAGTAAGAAGTAGTACCTCAATGAGACATGCGTTGCATTTGGGACAAGAACTGGGCGTAATGGTTGGAGTTTTTGGTTACCTCCAATCATCCAGCCAGCCCCTGACGACCGTGACGCGCGCACTGCAATACAACCGTGGTTCTCTCCAAGTCAGGGAAGCTTTGCCTCGCCAGCTCTGTTCTCATCCACTCGCCATCAATCACAGGCTTCATTTCCCGCCTCCATTATTTCCAAATTTCACTCTACTATGTGCTCTATTTTTTGAGCAAAATATGACAACATGGCACGACAAGGACGGCGACAACAAAACGACGGAAGAAAGCCAAAGCGGACGCGGAGCAAATCTTCTCGAATTAGGGCCCCCGGGAAGACTACAGCCACCTCTAGATGTGCTGATGGTCTATTCGACGAGGACATGGACGTTCAAGACGGACTTCCGCCTTGCCATGGTCCGAAGTTGCATCCCTCTGCACTCGCCAACGCATCGATCACCTGGAAAGATATGCTCGATGACCACTTGGAACCATATTCGGGCCACTCTGAGATCATGGCACATGTTTTCAAGGTTGAGATCGAGTCTAAGCACTACGCTTTGAAGGTGGTAAGTAGTGGTGAGGAGCTGTGGCAGCTCGAGAGGTTAACTATGCCTTAGTTTATGCCGTACGATATTTCGTATGACTACCACCAATTTTACACTGCGGGTATCCGCTGCACTGAAGAAGAGTTGGAATGGCATGTTATGCCCTTTTACTCAGAATGCCGCGCATACGGTCGAATCAAGCAGGCGCAAGACAGGCGATTACTGCCGCATCAAGTTGCAGTTCCATGCCACGGCTTTATTTCCACTTGGAGGAAAAAGACATCCGAAAACTGGAGGATGAGTGGAACCTTGATTTCAGTGTTGAACAGGACAACGCCCTAGAAACACCAATCCGTCCGATCTATGCCATTGTTGAAGATCTTGCAAGTGCAGGTTCCGGGGTCAGTGTCAAAAGCTTGCCGCGCAACCTACGAGATCTGCGATCTTTACACTCGATGGGGATATTTGTCCGTGATATAAAGGAAGATAACTATAGAGATGGGAAGCTTGTTGATTTCGGAACTGCTTGGACTGAACCGCACGTTATATTGAACCACTACGATAGGTGTATGCATTTTGATGCGGTGGAGGAGAGGGTGGGGGATTTGGCGATGTTTGATGATATGGCCAACGGGCAACGGCATCGCTAACCTTCGCAAGGTCAGCGCCATGAAGAACCGGGACTACTGTCATAAGTTGCCCAGTCGTCTAAAGGATTCGGACGAGTTTAAAAGCCTATAGCGGCGTGTAACAAGCATTGGGCCGGCTATGCTTTTTATCAATGTCGTGAAGGACGATGACTTGAGAAGCGAATCTTGCTTAGGTGCAAGGTCGGAAGGCATGGCTTCCCGCAGTCGCAGGAGGAGCCTATTCCGCACCACCTGTCGAAGGCGCCCTGTATGTCCATCATGATCAACGTGGCAATATCGCCCTGGTCGTGAAGCAATGCTAACGCTAGGTCGAGCGCTGAGCATTTGGGCAGGCCACCGCGTGCTGGCTGTGGATGGCCCTTTGCGTGATCGCGACCCAGGCCAGACGGCGGGCTATCAGACGCTCGAGTCCTTGCCGAGGCAGGCCAGGAGGAGATGGGCCTCCAGCCTCTTGGGCAGATAAGTCCCTCCTGCCCGGTTTGGGGATCATCACTACCTCCGCCAGGCGGTAGCAGACCGGGTGGTGGCCCTGGTGTATGCAGCCCTTATACAATTCCCTCACCGCTTCGCCGAATGTGGCTCCAGATCCGACGCAACATCCGAACTGTGATGCCGTCGACTCCCGGGGAGATGTTTCCAGTGGAAGTGCACGAGTGAGCCGCGTCGGCGAGCACGACGCTGCAGTCGAGGGCCCTCTGCCGGACCTCCGGCGCCTAGGGGTCCGTGATGTCGTCTGCAGTCACGCGCCTCTCCAGGATCTCTGTCCGAAGCACGTTTGCCTTCTCCGTCTGGGTCTCATAGAACGTTTTGTGACGGTCACGGACTGAGCCAGAAGGCTGTGGACTCTATTACGAAGATTCTACTCTGAAGAAGAGAAAGGAGAACAGAACAATACAGCCGGGTGTCCTCTCCCTAAATATGTCTTCCGTACGTGTGGGCCGTGGCTTAACAACATGTGGGTCATGTACGCAAACGGGGTGTGACGGTGCTCAACGAAAGCCGTCACACGTTTCGCCTACTTGTATAGGCGGCCTGAACGGACTCGCCTTCTCGGCCACCGCATGATATTGCATACATCATCGTCAGTCTCGGCGCCTTCCAGAACCATATTGACTTGCTGATATTGCTGAGAACCGATATTCCTTACGGCGTACTTTTCGATCTTGGTGAGCCGCACGAGTTGGCCGTGTGAGCGCCTGGGTCTGGCAGGGTACTCCTTATGGTCGGTCTGTCGGAAAGGGTTCGGCGCAGTTCGCGCACCTCTGCGGGTGCTTGCAGTCGTTATCACGGTGGTCTTTCCCGCCACATCGTCGGCGGGCCTGCTTTCGGTCGCAGGCGTAGCGGGAGTGGTGATCCCAATCTTGGCGATCAGTCGGGCTAGTCGGCTGGTGCCCAAGAGCCGCCACCTCCTCTGTATCGCCGCCTCGAAGGACACAGTCATCGTCACAGTAGGCTGGTCGCGACGGAGCGTTCGGAGTGTCTCTTAGCAACATGGAGCATCAATTGGTTCGGCGCCTGTCTGGGGCTTGATCCTTCTTTGATAGCTTGGCCAGTCCACGGCGGCCCCAGATATCCGTGAGCTGCCTCGGGCAGTCAGCCACAGCGTAAGTGTGCCACTTCTGGAAGCCTTCAACCGCTCCGAGGCGGGCCGGGCCGCCCAGTCGTCCTGCCGTTCCACAAGCAGGTCCCTCGCCTCCCGGTCTGAGGCCCGAATAGCCCATCCAGTCTTCACCCGGGCGATCTGTGGCATGCGTTCTATCCCTAGGTTGAGAGTCTTAGCTACGTGAGCTCTGATGGCATGTCCTGGTAGCCCCATGCTGGGGACTTGTCGTCGAGCCGCATGAAGACACGCAGGTCATCCTTGTATGTATGTATGTATGTGTATTTCACCCGGAGGATTTCTCCTATAGGGCCTAGACGTAAAAGCTACTGACATTTCAATACATTAATGCGTAACACCTTAAGCCCCACGGACAGGTCATCCTTAGGCGGCTGGACCGGAGGCGTTTCCGGGGCCGTGGGTCGAGGCGGACCGGCAGGGGCCCTGCCTGCACCATCCTTCTGGGCCATAGCGGCGTAGGTCGGTGTGGTCCCGTCTGAGTAACGAAACATGCACGGACGATTTCGAATCATGCACGGAGACTTAAACCCCATTTGGAAGAGGACCCGCCCACAACAATTTGGCGCGCGCCTCCCAACGCCGTGGCCGCCTCGTCGCGCCTACCACTGGCACCGAATAGTGGCTGCTTTACGCTTAGCCTTCCCGGAAGTCTTGCTGTTTGCAACGTTAACGACGTAGCCTTGATCTTGCTGATCATTCCGAAGTGCCTCAAGAGCCTCGGAATATGTGCAAAAAGTGTGTCCTGGATAGATATAGGCTCAGGCCTGAGCCCTCGATCGTAGTCATCGTGGCGGCGGCGGCGGCGGCGTTGGCTACAGTGGCCGCGGCAGCCATCGCGTTGGGAACGCGCGCGCCAAATTGTTGTGGGCGGGTCCTCTTCAAATGGGGTTTAAGTCTCCGTGCATGATTCGAAATCGTCCGTGCATGTTTCGTTACTTCCAAAATTTGGTGCTCTTCCGAATGGGGTTTAGCTCGGGGTGCATGTTTCGAAATTGGGGTGTATGTTTCGTTATTCAAATCCTTTCCCTTGCAGGCAGGAACCTAACCTAGGTATGCATGCAGCAAAGCCATGGTTCATTCATTATGCTTCTAACAGGGGCTGATAAGATTTCCAGTCTTGACCGCCTAGCGATGAATAATTTACCAGCACCCACCTGCCCTCGGCATCGAGTTTCCAGCATCAGCTACGAGTCCATCCAAAAGTCGCCCACGCACCCTTCTCCGGCACCCTCCCTCCGTATCATGAGGGTTGATACGCCGAGTGGTGAGGCGGCTGTCGGGTCGGACGCACCGCGAGAAAAGGGCAAGGCGTCTCCGAAACTCTGAGGACGGGCTGCATTGCCTGGGTGGAGAAGGAAGGCCAACCGCGGCGAGCCGAGATCCTCAGTATCAAAGAAACGAAGAGTGGCAAGCATTTCTATTGCAACTTCGACAACTTTAACAAGCGACTGGATGAGTGGGTTCCTGTGGCCAGAATCGACTTCAGCCAGGATGTAGAATGGCCGAATCCAGAAAAGGCAACCTGAACGATTCAAAATCCAAGAAAGCGCCGTCAGTACAAACGAAAAAGGCCCCAGTTTCGACGAAGGCACAAAAACGCCCCGGAAAGAGGGAGCAGTCGGTTCACTCTGAGGCCACAACTCCTCATCCTTGGACAGGTGTGCCCACCATCACAATGTTTTTGGAAAGCGACGACAGATCCATCTGCTGACTCCGTCACACCCAGAATTCGTGGAGTCTCAAACCCGAAAATCATCGTCGATTGGACCCGATGGCGATCCCCAGACATTCACCAGCGTCGGGGCTAGTGCTACGCCGGCCGCCACCGACGAGCTGGACGCGGACGAGGAGGAAGTAAGGAATTATGAAGAAAGCGGGTTCAGTCGCGAAGAGGAAATCGAGAAGTTGAGAACCTCAGGTTCTATGAGTCAAAACCCCGCCGAAATTTCGCGAGTACGAAATATCTCGAGAGTCCAATTCGGGAAGAACGACTTGTTTCCGTGGTACTTTTCCCCCTATCCAGAAGTGTTCAGCCAGGATGACGTCATCTTCATCTGCGAATTCTGCTTGAGTTACTATGGTGACGAGAAGGCATTCCTGCGACATCGCAGAAAGTGCACGCTGCAACACCCACCGGGTAATGAAATATACAGAGACGACTACGTGTCCTTTTTCGAAATCGATGGCCGTCGTCAACGCACATGGTGTCGGAATCTCTGCCTACTGTCTAAAATGTTTCTCGATCACCAGACACTGTACTACGACGTCGACCCTTTCTTTTACGTCATGTCGACCCGGAGCGACAAGGGCTGCCATATCGTAGGATACTTCTCAAAGAGAAGGAGAGTGCGGACGGATACAACGTGGCTTGTATCATGACTCTGCCGCAGCACCAGAGGAAGGGATACGGAAGGTTGCTGATTCAGTTCTCATACGAGCTATCCAAGATCGAAGGCAAGCTAGGATCACCGGAAAAGCCGCTTTCAGATCTGGGCCTCTTGAGTTATCGCCAGTACTGGTCCGAAAACATACTCGATCTGCTGCTAGGCTACAACGAGCGAGACGACAGAGTGACGATAGAGGTGATTTCCAAAACTCTAGCCATGATGACTCAGGATGTCGAACACACCCTGCAAGCAATGAATATGCAAGTCTATCACAAGAGCGACCACAAGATCGTCATCCCCGACAAGCTCATCAAGCAAAGGGAGAAACAGAAGCAGAAGCAAAAGATCTCTCGACCCGGCCAGGATACAGTGGAAGCCGCCAGTGTTTACAGCCTGGAGCAGGACGTGGGGCTGGTAAAGATGCGCCGCAACGATATGTGTGGTGGAAGAAAAGGTGTCGCATCGAGCTGACCCTGTTTGGAAGGAGGATACTTGTTTCCTGTGTATGCAGATATCGGGGTCCCTCCTGACAGCTATTTAAGCTCGGTCAGTGGACACCCAACGCTCTTTACTCTCTCTTTTGTAACAGTAACAGAGACCTCTTTTACCCCTTCTCTGCGGGATCAGCTTTCACATCCGACTTGTCCCTCGTGCGTGCCTCGTGGTGAGATCCGACAGCATCTTTAAAAAATGTTTATCGTTCTGCCGATAAATTTGTGTCAAGTGCACGTGCGTAAAGTCACATTGACCCCATGCATCACTCATGAAAGCCCACTTTTCATGCTCGTGGAATGGCCCATCCCTTTGAGTGTCGAGGAGGAGCAAGGGGGTCACGAACAGGGATCTCAGCCAATAAGACCACTAGGCGATTAGGGGTACATTGTTTTACTAGCAAATTTGGCTATGGTAGAAGTCCCAGCAATCCTGCTTAGTACATATAGCTAAGGGATTTCCCGGTGATCTGCCGGATCGGGTGATTCGCCGGGTTTTTTCTCCCTTGCATCCATGGCGTAGTGGTGACACGTCTGGAGCCTCTGCGTCGCAGAGGGGTCGGTTCGAAGCCGGCTGGAGGCACCCCTGAGCGAACAGGGTACACCCGGGTTCCCGCCCGTCAACAGGGAACAGCGTCATGAGAGAACACAATCGGCGTACCAACCACCATCAGTGACTAACACAACCACGCTTCAACTTCGACACATCGCGCTTCAGTTGCTGGGAATAGGATGCTGAACACTTGGAGAAATTGACCTTCAAGCAGGTCTGTCGTGGGGCGAACAGTGGAATGGTTGGCGCAGCGTAAGATGATCTGTGGGGCTTGGGGAGTCAAGGAACAAACGTGTTGAACTGTACTCTAGACAGTGTAAAGGCCTTATAGGGACCTCCCTCCGGGCGAAATAAATCCTACTACTACTACTACTACTACTTCTCCCTTGCATTCCAGTAAAGAACTGAGAATAACTCCACGAATACTATTTGAATTGTTCTAAAATCTCATAAGAGCAATTAATAATGCTCAAAGATTCCACTCAATATTTTTTGAAGTCATCCAGTCATCGAGGTCGTCTTCTGTTACTCCGATCGCGCAAGTCCCCGAAATGCACCCACTACCTTCCGATCGCTATCAACAGCTAAAGAGGGCCTTTGAGGACAGGATATGTGGTTCGAAGTTATCATTGCCTTGTTATTTGCGTTATTATATAGTGGGCTTGGTACCTGCAATGCTATGGTCCGCTCTGGTGTGAACGGAAGAGTGACAATTTCTGCGGCGTGAGCATCCTGACTCCTCACGCAACCCTCAGAAGCCACCCGTCGCTCATTCTGCATTTTCTGGGGCTTTTCCATAGTCAAAGTCTTCAGCTCTTGTTAATAGTGCCAATTTATCTCCATATTTTGCTTCAAGGCCTCCGTCATCCGTCGTTTTCTCCCAATTTCCGCCTCTCATTGCTTCCTCTTCTGTAGAGCGAAAGCTTTTGCTCCGCCGCCTTCTTCTGTTGCTGAAACCTTCAGGTCTCCTTCTTCAGAGCCTCTTCTTTTTTTTGGGGTCCTTAAGCTGTATTTATTTAGCGAGTTTGAGCCACTTTTGCAGAGCTAAACACCTCGTCTGCATTACAATCTGTACAGCAGAAGAGATCATCTTTTGGAGCCTTACCGCCCTGCCTGCGCTGGTGCTTGTGACTACCTGTTCTCTTCTAACTTAAGCTCTCATATAAATCACTTAAAACTCACATTGAGGGCTTTCGAGGGTGCTGCTCAGCCTTCGGCTGTTGCGGCCAGCATCAACAGAGGTCTTCTCGACTACTTCCTGAAATGCGTTCCAAAACACAGTCTAGAGCTTCATTTTCAACGATTTAATTAACCTTTTTTATTTGTCTGTAAAATGAACAAGATTATACATATACGCTGCTGAGAGAGGCTGAATAACGATGCATCAAGGGTTGCAGCCGATGAGTGGAATGAGGAGGAAACACCGCAGCGATCATCCGGTGCCCGTCACACCACTCCATAAAATCCATAATAAAATGTTTAAGTGGCCACAGGTAACGAAAAGGCGAAAAGAACGACCGTTTCGAGCTTCGCCTTAGTAAACCGGTCCAACGTACTGACGAGCTGCTCCTTTCCAATATTGTGATTCATCCACCTCGTTTTTGACGTGTTAAAAATATTTATTGACGACTTGATTCACGTTTCACCAACCAAAAGTCCAGGGTTTGTGCTGGCTTGTCTTGGTGGATGAGAAATGGGGGCAGCGATGCCATCTCTTGACTGACGCACATCTTGAACGTAGTGGAGGATGGGTTGCCATTTTGATACGCCGAGCAATTTTGCCTTGTTTTCTTATATTAAGAGGAATAAAATGTTCGTTCAAATGCTCGCAAGGAATAGAAAGCTCTTTTCATCCATGTTATACATGTTTTAGGGCAGGGTGTCGAGTTTCAATTTTCGTGCGCGTCTTTCCTTGTCAGGTGTGAAAGGGGAGCGCGCACTGAAGTTCAAGCTAAAAATAAACCTTACATTCAGACGCATGGGTAGGTTCTTTTCAGAAGATGCTCGTACCGTCGAATCACGTTCAATCTGGCTCATTACGGGTGCGTAGAATGAGGTTATCCAGGTCGCCCTTCCAACCCCCATTTTTGGCAGTATCCTGAGCCAAGTTCCGCACTATGGATATAATAGGGAGAATCCCATGATTAAAGCCTAAGATGAAAGTCAATAATGTTCTGTTTTTGCTGTGTTGGCCGAAATGACTTACACAATCTGTCGGCATCCTATTTTGGCCGTTGCTTGGTTTGATGTCAGCACCGCAGCGCACTGCCCACTAGATAAAAGTTCTAAATATATCCTAGACTTTCACTGCTTCTGATAATTCAGGAACTCAAGTGATACGTCAATTGGCACCGTGGTTGTTGAGCTATCGTCGATTGATGTTGAGCGTGCGAAGTCGCCACAATCCGGCAAGTCGCCAGATCCGGCAGATCACCGGGAAATCCCTTACATCACACTGGTTACATCCCTTACGAGTCTTCGTGCCCGGCTTCTTGCGTGCATTGCTGCTAGCTGTGCCTAACGGCTTGCGCCGACTTCGTGATCTTATTTCCCCAGCTTTAAAGCCTTGACAAGGAAGGCAGCGAGAGCTTTTGCCGCGATTGACATGTTTATGCTGTGTTATAGGCGTAAATATGTCTCCAGCTCGAAATAGTTGTCTTGAGCTACCGTCTTTGCTATAAGCCTCGCAAAGATCTCTCACAATGCGTTGCCGCCACTCGCGCTGTGAGGTTATTCGCGGCCAGCTTGGCTGGCCCCAAAGCTGAAGAAGGTAGCTGTTAACAAGGGCAGTCTCAAGCAGGAAGGTCCACGCAAGTGCCCGCCAATTTCCCCTACAAACACGGTGGTCTAGTCCTCTCCTGCTCTTAGTTGGTCACCAATATCAACGCCGCCCATTTGATCAATGTAGTCTGCAGAGATAGACGGCACAGGAAGACGTAATACAGGCTCGGCACCGAATTTTTGCTGTATTGGGCGTGCTCGAGGCTGCGTTGTTGTCGGCCGGCGCCGAATTCGCTCTTCGAATTCCTCGCCGGAATAGACTGTTGAGAGGAATAGCACAAGAGCGTTATCTTTCCAAGCGAATTGGTTGACCTAGAAGAAGAAGACGAATTAGTAGGGGAATTACTAGAGAGCCTGTCTTCTAGTACTCGTACCTGACCGTCAGGGGTTGGCGCAGTCTTCAGTGTGCCCCACGGCCAACAGTCCCCCTTTGTGTCAGCTTTCGCCTCCACGAAGGGTTTGTAGAAGCCACAGTTGATTCGGGCTGTGCCTGTGGCCCCAATCTCTAGCTGACGAAGAGCGTTGAGGAGGTTCGGCGAGGAAAGAGGTTATCAAAGAAGACATGGTATGTCTGTTCTGGTAGTTGCTTGACTAGGGCAACAACGACGCTCTGGGTCGGGTTGAGAGAAATGCTGCCCTCTGCTGTGCCTATGGCCCTCTTCCTTTTCTTCCCAGCAGCCGGGCCAAGGGCATTACCATGCCCCACCCCCCTTTCGGTAACACCCACCTTTCGGTAGCGCAATTGAAAAATTCTCCACCAAAAGTCTACCATTTGAACTACATGAAATAAAATACTTCGAACACCCGTTAAGTTGCCAATGCATGGGGCTTAACGGCTGAATATCCAGCCCGAAGGGTAAACATCGTATACCTGCAATCCGACTTTCATAGGAGGAGAGCCCCTAGAACCCCCTTGCGCCTGCAGCAGCCGCTTCTTGGCTGGCCTATCCTAACTATATACCCTATATTACCCTCCCCCTTCCCTGTAGCTTGTAGGAAGACGACATTTAGTCACGGTAGAGTGGTGGATATAGTGGATCGGTCAGCTGTTGAGCCTGGCGCCGTTGTTGGTCGGCGAGGCGCATCTTCATCCCTGTCTCATAGTTAGCCATGAATGCAATACGTAGGAAACGCAGGCGTATAACCTTCCGTCGGCGTGTGGTTATAGAGGCTCTGACGATCGAAAGGCGCTTCAAGGAGTAAGCCTTGCAGCGACGTAACCCGTGAGACAGCGACATAACTAATGCCGGCCTGGAAGTCGCGTGTAGCGAGATCAGTGACTATTTGATCTTTCGTTAGGCTCTGGCATTTGTGAACAGTGATAGCAAATGCCACGATCAGGGGAAACTGCGTGCGAGCGCAGGTCTCGTTGCCCACTAGGAAATCACGCCTGACTGGGAGGATGGGTGAGATTTTCCTGCCCTCGTTAGTTGTTAGATATGGCGGTCCATCGTAGCTATCAAAGTCCACCATAATAACGGACGGGGGATCTTCCAATGGGTCGGCGCCTGCGTTCCAGGCAATATCGTATACAGTACCCAGGGCACCGTTAACTAGGCCAGCTGGCTGCCACAGATTAGTCGTGAGCATCACCCTGGTGCCCTTAGCAACAGGGAACTTGTTAGATAGATTGCCAGCATTGTCGCTTGGTGCCTGCCCCGCGCCCTTGCCCTGATTATTTGCCTCCACCTGGATTGCCGGGGTATTGAGGTGCACCATATGCTCATGGTTGTATTCGTTGACCCGGGCCTTTGTAGAATACACTCGCAAAGCGGTCCTGAAGCTGTCAACCTCGCTCTGCGTTAGCCTGGCCTGTACCCGACTACTAAGGAGGTTCCAGGATGGGATAGATAACTTGACTTCACGCAGTTCCTGCAACGCCTGACGGAACTGGGCCTGATCATCACCAGCCTGGCGCTGTACCGTGGTTAGGAACACGGTACGGTCAAATAACTGGTAGGCCACCTGCCCTCTTCTTTCCAGCGAAGACAGGCTAGTGCTAGTCGAATACAGGGGCTTCTGCCGGACTGGTGGTAACTGGAAGAAATCGCCCACAAGCAAGACGCTCACACCACCAAAGAACTCGAAGCTACGCTGTGGAAAGGCCTGCCGCAGACGGGAATCGACTCGCGCGAGTTGCTCAAGCCCCAACATGCTCTTTTCATCGATAACGAGGTATTTGACGTGCCGTAGGCGGGATTGAAGGGCGGCTGCGTCGGCTGGGGAAAGGTCGGTAAAGGTACCTCCTACTGGAAGGCGTAGCAACGAATGAATGGTTCTTCCTTGTATCTGGTTACTCGCAACGCCCGTTGGCGCCACGCGGCAAATAGGGCTAGGATTCGGTAGGGCGGCTGCCTGAAGATGGGAAGAAAGCACCTTGATAAGGAATGACTTGCCTGTACCGCCACCACCATCAACATGGAGAAGACTTTGAGTAGGATTTTGGGCCTGGAAGTGACCCATGAATGTGTCGTACACTAGCCGTTGTTGTGTATTCAGCGTATTACGCCAGTGAGGGCCAAGGACCTCCACATCGTTGGCCATGGGGTGGCTGGCGATAAGGTCTTTCCAGTAGCTGTCTCGAAGTTCCGGATATGTACCCACATGCCGTGTCCAGTCGTAATTGACGTCGATATCACGGCGGCCAAGAAGGTCAAGATCTTCCTGGGTGAGTGGGTTCCCAGGTAAAAGGGCGGCGAGGCGAATCCAGTCTTCGTCATCAAATTCTTCCTCCACAGGCAGAGCCTCGTATTGATCATCTTTGGGCTGTAATGGAGCATCTTTTGGCCGACCGTAATGGTCATCACCATGACTGTGGTGCCGCCAACAATAGGAGAAGGCCTCAGCGTGAGAACCAAAAAGCTGGCCGTCAACTGTGAGGAGATCATCAACCCGCCGATGTGGGTGGTTTAATGTTAGCTTTACACGACAGTAATCTGGCCACTGTTGACCTTCTGGATCAGCCTGATAGCGAGGAAAGTAAACCAGCACACGAGGCCTGCCGTTAATGTTGCCTGGCTGCCATTGCTTCCACTTGGAAGGGTCCCTAGTGCGGAAATTCCAGTATTTGAGGAAGGAGACGTAGGTTAGGTCCTTTAGGGCTTCTGGGCGCTGAATGTACTTTTCGTAGATGTTGGGGGCCTCGTCAACCTCATCGCCGTCAATACGGAGGGAGCGGGAATGCCTGTCAGGATTACGACAGTCGACGTACAGGCAGGTTCGTGACCCTTCCTGTAACGGCAGGCCGAGGAGCAAGTGGCAAACCTCCTGCTTCGAGTAATCTCGCTCAGCAACTAGCTGATTTAGTAGCTTTGACGTAAAGGAAATCAGGGGGTTGTGGTCCTTGACCCGGGGCATCAGGGCCTTCCCAATCTGGGCAAAAGACTCGCTCTTCTTTTCCGACTTGGAGCAGTATTTGGCCGCGTAATCGATTACTTGCTGTAGACTCGTGCAGGGCGAAACATCTGTGTTGGCTAGCCACGCAACGGTAAGCAAGCGATTGTAGTGGTTAATCTGGCCATCATTCCGCTCGCCCCTAAAGCTCCAGTGTTTAGAGTGAGGAACCCTGTCAAGGGAGGCTAGTAGGCGATGGCCGTGAGGAAATCCAAAGCGGCACTCCACCAGCTTGGTATGCTTATTGAGCTGCATGCAGTAGTTGTTGCAGCGGTGGCGTTGCACGCGGTTGAGTACCATCGACAGGAGCTGAACGGTAAGAGGATGTTCCAATAGATTACCGATGAGGGGATTCCCTTCCCCAGGAGCCTGTATTCGCTGTGGCTCTGGGTTAACGGCGGATACGTGATATCCCCAGATGCGGGCGAATCGCTCACGGGACTGATCGTTGTCGGGATCTAAGTCTGGGTGGCCACTTAGCCAATATAGGCCGTGGTGGTGACTGGAGCCCCTGCCCTGCCATTCGTAGCGGCCCCAAGAGTCCGTTAGGTTGAACTTCTGCTTGAGGACAATAGTTCTAAATAGCGTATAACGCTTATGGAAGTGGTAAGCAGCAATGTGGGCGTTGTCCCGCAGCAGTTGTCGTGATAGAGCCATCCGCGCCACCTCAGGAGCTGTTTGCCACTCGTCAAATCTAGGCATATGACGGTATAGGGATTCCCAGTGGTAATCGGCTGCACTTGCAGTAGCGAAAAGGCCAGGTTTGCCTAGATTATAGGCATATGCTTCCAATTCCTTCCTTTGCTTATACCAATACGGCCGGGTGCCCCTGATTACCGCGGCTTGGCGCGTGATTGACTGGATCAGCGCCTGAGCCTCCGGCTCGTCAGGCTCGGCCATGGCTTCCTCTAGGTCGGCGCGGGTAAGGGGTTGACGGCGGCCGTCGCGTTGCTTGACGAAGTAGTCACTTCGCTTTCGGACCTGCGCACGTAGCATCGTGTTGAGGGCGACGAAAGGCCACGTCTTATGGCGGGCAAAACGCCCGTCATGCCATCTCATCGCATGGCCAAGGTAGTCCTGGTACGTGATGCTCCGTAAACGAGGCTCCACGAAGTCGGCCTTGCCGTCGGGGTAGAGGGTAGGGAACGCGAGCGATAACAGCGGCTGGGAACGGTTGAATTCGTCGATAGGGGTCCTGCGAATGGAAGGCAGTGGCATCTGGTGGTGAGTCTGCGCGCTACGCGGCATATACTCCAGACCAATAATGCGCCCAGGGTTAGGGGTCCCAGGGTTAGGGGTCCCAGGGTTAGGGGTCCCATCAAGAAATCGAGACTGCAGAGCGTTCAATTCGGTATCAGTGATCTGCAAATTCGGGATCGCTGATGCATCGGGCTCGCTAGGGTCCTCTTCCACCACCTCCTCAACGGGGCCTTGGGGGACCTCGCCGTCAGGTATGTCAGCCACTTGGCTGGCAATGGAAGCAACTATGCTGCCATCAAGTGGAACCCGTTGCAGGCGATTCTGGCTCACAACGATATCGCGATAGCCCGGGTGGTGACGCTGTAGGTAATGCAGCCAGGCCGACAGGCATGAGCGACGTACCCGGAAATCGCGAGCAAACTGTTGCTGGAAGCGAGGGTCGCCCCCTATATTAGGAGGCCGCAGGAGGACGATATCTAGCTCTTCAGCTAGGACTGGGAGCTCTTCAAAAAGCCTGCCAACGTTGCGAAGGAAGTGGACAACGTGACCGCGATATTTATACTGAGCGCCGCGCACCTGGAGGACTTTCACGTGTACGTGAACCCTAGCGATGAGCATCTCCTCGACCATCGTTAGATCAGGTAGATTGGCGGGGATTTCCCCAAAGTCAAGGTGATTCGCAGCGCTGAAGAAGTAGGGCTCGTTAGGGGCTTTCTTCCTGTCTCGACCAATGCAGCGACTGCAGATTTTCAAGCTATTTCGCTTCATATCGAACCAACGCTCCTGGCAGCGAATGCAGCTTTGCATCTTGTCGTCATTCAGGGCAGTATAGAACTCCCGCACAAGGGCTTCATCCTCCTCACTAAGGGCAGGTGAGTCGAGGTTCCCTGTAAAAGGCGGATCAACTATCTGATCAAACTGTCGCCCTTGAGGCTGTGGCCGTGAACGGGGGTTAAAGGTGGCTTGACGTGTATAGCGGCCGCGGCGATGACCCTGTGGCAGTAATGAAGGAGTGGTGGGAAGTGATTCCTGTGAAGGTGTGTCTAGCACAATAGAAGCCGTAGAAAGTGTGCCTGGTGGAATCGGTGTTTGAGGAATCGGCGTGCCCAGAACTACTGTTGGCAGGCTAAGGGTAGGAGGGACAGAGGAAGGCTCCTCTACAATGCTCGGGGTAGATGGCCCTAGCGGAGTTCTAGGCAGTCGGAATAAAGCAGGCGTGACATGAAGTTGGAGGCCGTTCACAAACCCGGGCATTGGCGCTGTTCGCCTCGGAGGCGTCAAGTTAGCTAGCGAATCGGTCCTCTTCGTGGCTCTGCGTGGCATCGACCTTGAGGCGATATTACGCATGGCGGCAACCGCGACTCGGGATTCGGTTACCCGTTTCTTTTTGCGTGCTCTACAGCCAGCACACTGTCCTGTAATCTTCGTAGGGTCCCTGACGCTTCGAAATTCGGCTTCGGGCAGGTCTTGCTTGCAGGTACGGCAGTTGCGGACTGCCTGGGGCATGTCATTCTCCATCTGTCTGTATATATATCTGTCTATTCGTCCACATAGACCGCCGGATAAGGAGAAGACTGCACTGCTTGTTCGGAGACTGAGAAGCCGGGAAATCTTGACAGCTAGGTGGGGTGTTGAGGTGATATGGGGAGCCTAGATACCGTTAGCAACTGATGGGTTTCATAGATTCGACGGAAAAGGGAAGCAGCCGCCAACAGGTGTAGGAGTACGGAGTAAGGGGCGCAGGACGTATTCAGCCAGAAGCGAATTACTGAAAGCAGGAAGAACTGAAAGCTCTTGCTGGCCAGGGTTAGCTAGTTACCTAGTCAACGCTCAGGGGTTCGTAGCGGGCCTCATTTCGTGGCGTTATCAGCCGACCACTCCCCGCACGAGTTGAGGACAGGGGAGGTCAACTAGCCAATCAGAAGAAGTTTTATGCTCGATTCTTTCTGACTGAGTAAAACGCCCTTCGGGCTGAACGAGGGGAAGGCTCGCCAGCCGCGGCTCGCGCAAAGAGGCCTTTCGGAACGAAAGTTGGCGATGGCGACAGGAGAAAGTCGGGGAGAGGAGAGAGTTGGCGACAGGAGATAGGAGACAGGGGAAGTGAGAGGAAGACAGGAAGAAGAGTGAGATAAGAGATATGAGATGGAGATCCGGCGAGAGACGTAGAGCATTATCGTGAGTGAAATCGAGACAGAGCGTCAGAGAGGCAGCCTAGGCCGCTGCAAGGAGATTTTGCTTTGCAAAGGCGCAAAGGGCGTGGAGAGGCGGCAGGGGTGAAGAGAGTTGTGGGTGGGTAATGCATGTGTGGGCGAGTGGAAGGCTCTGAGGATTTACAGGTGCTATAAGTGGTGGATATAAACAGAATAAGGAGTATATTGGAGAAGTTTTGACTGGATTGTCTTTGTGAAAAGGAGAGCAAGAGGAGAAGGAAATATCCCATTAGGGCCTTTCGCACTTGAGTTTGAGGATGATGAAACATGTTCCTTGTCATGTTGTGTTGTTTCGTTCGTTGCTTTACAGAATATTCTTGGGCGGATGTCGGGCGCGGTGGGGTCGGGAAGAGATTGACGCCGGAGGTCTGATAGGGTCAGAGGCGGATGTGGCTGGGTGATTGACTGGCTCGGTGTCCGTCTCTGAGTCTCCGGGGTCTTCGTGGGACAGAAGGGAGGAAGTGTCGGATTTGGCGGGGCCTCGACTATCACAGGCGGCGACTATGGTGGAAATTTCTGGAGAAAGTCGCGGTCTCTTGGTTGGGGTTTGGTCGGGATCGGGCAATGACCGCTTTGATGTCATCATAAGGATCGACTGACCTAGATGCAGGCGGCGTGGGAGGCGCCGCTTGGGGCGGCATTGCGTTTTTGGTAGAGGTAAACTTGGCCAACGCATCGCTATAGTCCGAGGGTTGCCGACTGAGCCCTTGGGTGTCGTCGGCAGTAGCTGTGTCGCAGAAGCCTGGTTGGACATGGCCCTGTCAAGGAAAGTCCATGTATCGGGGACGACGATGAAGATATAGTCTTGCTCGAAGGCCGGGGCATGTGTCATGATCTGGTGATCGAGTAAGCCGGCGATTTTGCCCGTGCAGGTGAGGAGAGCGTTCGGCTGGAACTGGCTATCGCGCCTCTCGGTCATCTTCTTGCATAGGGAGGTCCAAGGATTGGCGTGAATGGGGAAGATGACGAAAAGTTGAAAGGGATGAAAGCCCTTGAAGGGTGTTTGCCCGGAATCCCAGGACAGATAAAGGTCGAGAGCTGGACAAAGCCGCAACAGCTCAGCTGGTGTCGTCAAGGCCGCAGCCGAGTTTCCATGCAGAAGGTCGCGGCCGGAACCGATGACAGGTCCCGTGAAGGAGACAATGGGTTGTATCGCTGGGAAGGCATCCGCCGAGCCGAGGGTGCGAGGATGACTCTGTGGCCATCGTCAGAGATGGTAGTGGTGACGGAGGTCTGGAGCATACACCTACGGCTGCTAGCTGTGGTCGCGGACGATGAGAGCCGGGATGGTGTATTCTGTAATGTTGTCATCCTCCGACTCGAAGCTATCACGTCGCTCGATTTCCCACGTCAGGGCAAAGGGATGAACACGGCCGACCATAAAGAACCACTGCTCGGTCCATTCCGAGGGGATTATCTGTTGGTTGTATATGGAAATATTAAGGCTCAAGAAGATGCAGGTCGATGGATTGTCAGGATCTGACCGGATTGCTGCATACTCTGGAGTCGACAGCCATGAGGGCGTTGGAAGGAAGACCCTCGCTAGGGTTTCTGCGTTGAGCCCTTTGACACGATGCTCATTCTGGTAGGCGAACCTAGACGGGCAGCCGGGCTGGACAAAGGCCATCATGGACATGTCGGCGCCAGCATTTTCTGGCTGTCAAGAGGTTGCCGCGGGAGGACGAGGTATCGACGTTGAGCTGGGAGGCCGACATCGTGAGAACATGGCAGATGTGGTCACCGTGGAAGTGTAAAGGAGGGTTAGGAAGAGTAGAGGTAGGCATCCTATAAAGCAGGTTTTCTTGCTGCTCGAAAGAGGGCTCGTGGCTCGGGTCGGGGAGACTTGAGAGTCAGTGAATGCTACCTAGGTGATAGATCAGAAGCGGGGGTATGCGGGAATGAGCTGGCGAGGTTCTCGAGCAGTCTCGACCATCTGGTTCTGTGGTCGTGAGTGAAGTAGGGAGCCGGGGGTTGGAAGTTGAGTAGGGGTGATGGCTATGTTGCGAGAAGTTGGAGGTCGGCGAACGGTAAGGTTAGTGTGGGTAAGACTGCGGAGAAAGAAAGTCCAGTAGTCCCCTTCGGTGTCATCGTTGCATGGAGTAGATAGCAAAGGGGGCAATAACGAATGAGAGTGAAGGAAAGAAAGAGGTTATGGTAGTATTGCAGGACTCCTTTTGACGGTCGTCGGTAGTTGGATGGGCATTGCGTGCGGCTGAGCGAGGCGGGTGCCGACCGTGTCGAGTCTACTATTGGGACACGGTGAAGTCGGATATATGGGTCGACCTGAGGAGGAGGATGCGAGTTGGTCACGAGAACTTTCCAAGAGGGTTTGCAAGTCGAGACTCCGGTGGCTAGCGACTACAAGAGGACAGGCAGGGGTCCTGGCTATCGCTTTAGCATTAAGGCCGTTGATGCGACATTGGTGCTGGCGAGGGAGCAAATCTAGAAGGGTAGTCCGGCTGCATGAGGGACGTCATGGACATGTTATCGCCGGCAGCCTTGTGGCTGTTGCTCGACGAGGCGGATTGGCGGGTATTGATGGTGAACTGATGCGCAAGGTTGGTAGGATGGTGTTGGAAGGGCTGAAGAGTATGGTTTGAAGTGTGCGGCAGGCGGTTGTCGCGGCCATCTCCATGTGCCGGAGGTCGGCAGTGGCCAGGATTCGCTGGAGTGCGCAAAAGAGAGCACGGCGATGGAAGGGTCGCTTTGGCAAAGCTGGGGTAGCAGGTCGCACGTGGAGACCAGGCGAGGCCGGGACGGTGGACGCACATAGATAGGCATGGTAACGGGGAATATAGAGGGTAGTATTGCATCGCCTCGGTACCATAGGCAAGCATAGGGAAGCTATAAGGGAAGAAACGCCACGGCCATGAGGGAAGTGATGGTTAGGGAGCTTCCCATTCGGGAGAAGTAGCGTCGTCAACAAGCGAGACTGTCCAAGTGGAGGTGCTCCGGAGCCAATGCTTTATAGCCTGTTGCCAATTTACGGCAGTCGACGTCGAGGAGGCAGCAGCATGGCGGACAGTCCTGCAGTGAAGTTAAGCGAGGCGGTTGCTCACCCTGAAGCCTGTTCGTTGTCAGTCGGGGATGGAGAAGAGGGTGAGAACGTGAGCGGGTCGGGTTCGGGGCTCGGAGATGGTGCGACAGGAGCCGGTGTAGATGTGGTGGCAGCTTCTGAGAGGGGCCGCAGAGCACGGGGGGAGGGCCTGGGACGGTTACGAAGATACGAATCACGGGCGAATGCGGCATCAACGTTCCGGCCGATTCAGCCTAGGAAACCTGTGGTTGAAGACACCGCATGGAGACAGCACGCAGAAGCAATTGCGAGGTCGTTGCCGAGAAGACCGCCGCGAGGCGGTTTGCGGTCAAACAGAGCACGGAAGTTCCATAATATGGTTAGCAGCGGAAGTTCCGCGCAACATCAGTCACCGGGTCAGCTTCCGAGGCCCCTGTTGCCTAGGGAACGTGGAGATATGGGGGTAGCGGACTCTGATCGTCCGCTCCCTCATCGGCACTTTCTGCCTCAGGAGGGAGATCCTGAAGATGAGGAGCAACGTGTTACGGCGGCGGCGGGCGATGTCCCGAGTGTTCATTCGAAGGAGGTACCGAAGCTTCGATCCATCCAGCCTAGGGAACCGGTATTCGACAACTTAAGAGAAAACGGGCAATTAGCAGCAGCGATTGCGTCTGGTTTGCCCAAGCGCCGTCGGGGACGGAGTTGGCGGGTAAAGGGAGTACCAGGCCGCAGGGTGTCTCCAACGCAGCAGGTACGGCGCAGCATCCGGGGCCGTCTCCTGTGGGGGTGGGCGACGCCGCGGCAGAGCCAGCGGACGCTTCGCTGAGCGGGCGGAGGCTGCAACAAAGGGAGGTGGGCGGCTCATCGCGGGTGGCGGCTGGGGAGCCCGTGCAGTTTGATCGGCAGCAAAAACGAGGAGAGTGCTGGAAAGGGCAAGGACTGAGGTCAAGGTTCGGCATGGAAAACGTTCGCCAGCACGGCCCGGTGCCTGTCCAGTGCAAAGGGCCGGATGGCGTGTCAGGGGATGCGCACGTAGTCGGGCAGTCGTCGCCAAGCTGCCGCATCCGACGGCTTGCGAAGAAGCGAATCAGCCACGGAGAGAAGAAATCATGGATCGGAGGCGGCCCGGAGGCGGCCCCGGAGGCGGGAGAAGAGAAAACGTCTTCCTGGTCCGGACGAGCGCCCGAGAAAACAGATTCGGAGTGGAATCGGAAGGCAGAGGAGTCGGGAGCTGCGGGCCGAAGACCTGGCGAGTGTGCTGCGTTTTTTGGAGGAAGACTTCGCCATGAAGGAGAGGCTGTCTAACGATCAGACGTGGTGTACGCCAATACCGCACGACAGGAAGGTGTCGACGGTGCGGGATTTTTATCAGGCGTTCCACGATGCGAGCACGTTGCCGATACGGACCTGCATGACAGCTACCGCAAGCGTACGAGAAAAGAGCTGAGGAGATCAGATGGGATCAATGGCTGTCAAGCTGCGTGCCAGAGGGCGGCCGCTCACCATTTTCATGCCGGAGCTGCTTTCCCGAAGGCGAGCCCGTGTCGGTGTGTGCGGAGTGTGCCCGATGCCTGGCGCGCGGGAGTCTGTCGCCGGCGGTCCATCTTCACACTCGCCTTGGCTGTGAGCACATGTTCCCTGACGAGCTCAAGGGACTCACGCTGGTCGAAGAGAAGCTCGTCTCGCTCAACTCCTGCTATGGGTTTGTCACGAGATATAGCATTCCGGGCGGGCAGAGGCAGGCCGTGAGGTATCCGAGGCACGTCAAGGGCCACATCACAGTGTTTCCAACAACGTGCAGGAGCTGGCGACCAAGGTGCTCCCGCACCCCCTTTTGCAAGCACTGGACGAGATCCACGTTTCGTGGCAGGGCGTGGAGAAGCCGGCACCGAGCGACCTGTCGAGTCTCTTGTCGGTGAGGCGGCGGGTCGTCGAGAGGGCTCTTGTTTGGCTGAAGAGGAGCAACCCCCACTACGCCGAGATCGAGATCGACGTGGCGGAGATGGAGAGTTGGGGAGACCCGATAGACGGGGTGCCGGCCTTGGTGTATGATCGCATGGAGCGGAACGAGCCGTCCGCATGGGAGAAAACGCGGACGGCGCACGTTGTGCCGCCCACGGAGCGCGCCATGGACGACGAGGGGTCGGTGGAGATCGAGGAACTCTTCGCTCTGCTCAAGCAAAGGCAGGAAACGGGAGGCGAGGCTGAAGGGCACGGGCCCAACGAAGAAGGCGCGGGTCGTGATGGAGTTGGTGCTAGCCCCGATCAGAACGTTCGACCAATCAACGAGGTGACGTCTTCCGGCATGTTTGCTGGACGGACCGCCAGACGTGGCGGATGTCGAGAAGCTGCGGTTTGCCTGTGACGCTGTTGGCGCAGGTGCCGACGACGGCCGCGCGGGCCCGAGAACGTGGGTCGGATCCTCGGTGGGGTCGAGGGCGTGGCGACGATGGCAGTGAGCCATACATTCGAGTCTCGCGGGGATGAGTTTGCCGACTCCTTTGAGACGTCCTTCTTCGCCAGAACGTTCCCGACCCTGTTCCCATTTGGCGTTGGGGACCAAGGCTGGCCGAAGAGGCCATAGCCGAGGCGGGAAGGCCCTTACCAACTTGCGAGGCACCGGTAGAGCTGTTGAGGCAGGGGCGGCAGCGGAGACATCGTATCCTCCCGAAGCTTGAACCTCCGGATTTGGGCCGACATCGTGCTCCGGCGCCATGGTGGCCGGTTTGCGTTGCACCACATATTTGCATTTCTCGTCTTCAACATGGGGGTGCGGTCGAGGAACCGCCGCGTCAGCATGCTGAGTGTGGCGAGGAAGGACTTCGGCAAGGTCGAGCGCGTTGCCCGCTCGATGACCGCGCAAAGGTTAGCGGCGGCGAGGTCGAGTTGGAGAGCTCGGGCAAGACGACCGATGAGGGCGTGAAGGAGCTTCTCAGGAGCCTCTCGCTGTACGGCCACCGGCAACCCATGTCGAGAGGTTCGGCTCAATATGCGGCGGAAAATCCAGTCGCTCATCGTTGGCTACGGCGTTCCGGCCATCTGGTTCACCATCAACCCAAACGACATTACGAACCCGGTGAAGCTGCGACTGGCGGCATATCGGACACGCGATCCCGGCGCGGCCGAGGAGTTCCTAGAAGGCCTTGGGAGTGCGTACAAGCGGACAAGGCTGGCCATGTCCGATCCGATGAGCGCCGCCGTATTCTTCCACCGGGAGATGAAGCTGTTCTTCGATCATTACGTGAAGGTCGGAGAAGAGTCGGTATTCGGGCGCATCGGCAAGTACTACCGTATGGCGCTGTGGAGACCAACGAACGAGGGGCGCTTCATGTTCACGGCTTGCTCTGGTTGCACGGAAACGCGCATCTCAGCTCGATGCTTGCCGACATCCACGGGGAGGATCAGGCGGCGTATCGCGAGCGAATCATACGATACGTCGATAGTGTCTTCTCCGAGGTAAGAATAGCTAAGACGTGTCACTGAGAACCTGAATTGCTCGTCCGATGGACAAACGGGGCCAGGCTGACGTGCAAGATAGGATCTGGATCAGGAAGGGTTCTGCGCCGTGCAAGCGGAGCGATCTGTGACGTCCGATATTTCCTCCCTGCTGGACAACACCGAGCAGTTTTCGGCCGCATTTGACGAGGAGGCCAACTTCTGTGCCGGCGCTACACAGGTTCACACGCATAGCCCGACCTGTGTCAAGTATTCCTTGGGCAAAGGAGCGCGGAAAGGGAATCTATGCCGGTTTAAGTCTCCATGGAGGTTGGTCGACAAGACCGCCATCACGGCAGACGGGGTGTTGCAGATCCGGAGGACTCACAGCATGGTCAATCGATGGAACAAGGCTATCGCTGTTGGGCTCCGGCACAACCACGACATTTCCTTCATTGCGACGCAGCGCAAGACCATGGCCCTTATGTATTATGTCACGAACTACGCGACGAAGGTGGAGGACCCGGTGTGGAAGCGTGTGGCGGCCGCGGCCGACCTCCTGGCCGCCTCAACGGGTGACGGCACGGCCAACGGAGGACAGGACGACGGTGGAGGTGCTGTTGGCGATGACGCCGCCAAGGGGAACAGGACGCGACAGTTCTTGATGAGGGTGGCGAATCGTGTGTTCACGGAGCGTCAGCTGTCTCAGGTCGAGGTCATTGCTCATCTTCTGGGATATCCGGCCGAGTTCACCAACAGCAGCGCCTGGGCGTACCTGAACACATCTCTGCTGTACTGGGAAGTCTTTCGACGGTGGCCGTATCTCCGACGAGCAAATGGCGCGGCGGCCATAGATGATGCTCTGAATGAGTCGGTCGTTGTCGAAGAAGCAGGCCTGAGGATCTCCCACGTTGAGGCGTACCAGCACCGGGAGAGCTCCTGCGAGGGCTATGCTTATACGACTACATATCGCTCGTTAGACTAAAACGCACCAGTAAGGATGAGAGCTGTGCGGCCTGGGGAGGTGCCCTTCGAGGATGGATGGGCGCCAGGAGACGCTGGGTCCAGGTGCTCAGGCGGCCGGGCAAGCATGCTACCGTCTGCCTCGATGGCTACCTGAGCAAGGACTTCGGCCACAACGACGACGAGGAGTCGTGCCACCGGAGGTGTGTATAGCAACCGCCCTGCCGGCAGGCATCATCAGAGTGGCTAACCTCCCCCACCTCCCCCTTAAAGGGCAGCCGTGCAGCATCTTGCGCTATTTGTGCCGTGGGAGTCCTTTCTGTGCGAAGAAACAGGTGAGATCAATAGCATCTGGGAGCGGGCGCGAGGCGCTGGCCCGAGAATATCATGTCTCGTCGACAACGTGCAGCTGCTTCGACGATCAGCCGAAGACGCAAAGCGCGACGCCAAGCAATGGGCGGCCTCATCCGGCGATGGCGATTCCACGGTCGCCCACGTCGAGGAGGGCGAGACAGGCGAGGCGGGCGCAGAATTTGCAGCGACATATCGGTCCAACAACATCGGAGACGCAACGCGCCTGATCGACGTCGTCCGAGGCGCAGTGGGCACGAATCAGGTGACGGCCAAGTCGCCGGAGCTCATGGCAATGATGCGGCAGCTCTGTCGATTCCAGCAATCGGCGCTCTGCTCAACGGCCGAGCTCGAGGCCATCGCGATTCCCGAACAAGGGTTGAGGTGCATAAGCATGCCAGGGCGGGTATTTTCCGGGGCCGCACTACCGCCGCAGGATCAGGTCAAGGCTATCAAGTCGCAGCAGATAAGTGCGTCGAGGGAAAGGGAGAGAATGATCCAAGGCGTACAAACCACAATCGCAGTCCGGGAAAGCGATCGCCGAGCTGCGTTGCGGAGGGTGATGACCGGCTTCGGGGATCATTCTACGCACCCGTAATGAGCCAGATTGAACGTGATTCGACGGTACGAGCATCTTCTGAAAAGAACCTACCTATGCGTCTGAATGTAAGGTTTATTTTTAGCTTGAACTTCAGTGCGCGAGGCTCCCCTTTCACACCTGACAAGGAAAGACGCGCACGAAAATGGAGAAACTCGACACCCTGCCCTAAAACATGTACCGGTATAACATGGATGAAAAGAGCCTTCTATTCCTTGCGAGCATTTGAACGAACATTTTATTCCTCTTAATATAAGAAAACAAGGCAAAATTTCTCGGCGTATCAAAAAATGGCAACCCATCCTCCATTACGTTCAAGATGTGCGTCAGTCAAGAGATGGCATCGCTGCCTGTCAGACATCTTGGCTCCACATGGGTCAGAGATGGCATCAGGCAATTGAATGAGAATTATCTGAAGAACAAGAAGCGAACGAACGAACGCACGGAGTTGTGCAGCTCTTTATACACAAATGAAAGGTCCGTCGCGTGATTACGCAGTATCGGTTGCCTAGCAGGCAACAGCGGCGTTGCGAGTAACATCGCCACTTCATGAATAATCATCCTAGGCAGGCTTGATATGCGACACCAACCCTTTCTTGCCGCCGTCGATCACCATCGGCACCTCGTCCACCCCTCCGACGCTCTGAGCGCGGCGCGCCATCGCGTCGAGGGCGAATCGAGGGTGTAGATTCCGATGGAAGTGTCAAAAATGATTTTAGGGTGTGCGTTGGCCCTCAAGCCTCCAAGTTCGCCTGGATCTCCCACAATTCAACCCCGATGACAAGCCAGCGTAAGGCTCACGTAGTGTCACGCGCCTAAAGTGCTTGACCACGGTAGATGGCTGGTTGATTCCAACCACTGGCTGGAGTGACTTTTCCAGGGAAAAGCACGGGGCTGGGAGGCCTCTCGTGGTTATAAAAGTAGGGTTGCATAGCACCTGATGGAGCTCGTCAGAGATCAATGAATTGAATGATTGACCCCGTTCCTCACTCTCTGTTTAGTTGTGTGTGCGCCTTACAGTTTGATCTCTCTCCTTTAGGGCACAGAGACCGTTGAACGGGACCGGCTTGAATCATGGACTTATCGCAGCTTCCTCCAGAACTGGCCAGAGCAGTGGAGCGCCACATGCACCAATCTCAGGTGGCGGAATCTGCATCACAGACAGCATTCCCATCTTCGGCGCAGGTTCCCCCTGTGGAGGAATCGGATGCAACGGAATCTCCATCAGATAGCGGCGAGGCTGAACCAAGACCTTCGCCGACGACGAACAGAAGAAAAATCATGACACAAAAACGGCTAGATCAGCTCGCAGCGGCTAGAGCTGCGAAGAAAAGAAAGAGTCGCATGGTAGGCTCCAGCGGGGTGAGAATGTGGGGCAACAGGCTGAACCCACCACCTCCAACGTGGCCTTCAATGGAGCTCAGGAACGCAAACCGAACTAGGAGAGATCCGGCAACAGCTGGATCAGCAGATCGACTATTCGCGGCGGCAAGGGGAGCAGATACAGCAGCTCCTGAGCGCCCTCTTAGAAAAATCGGGCGAACGTGGCTCACGACGACGGTCCAGGTCGCCAGAGTATAGCCCACCACCGCGGCAAAGGATTCGGGAACGCTCTCCCATTTACGAGCCCAAGAACAAAAACCAGGTACAGATTCAACAGTTCCGGGGCACTTCGGCAGCCGAGCTTTCTACCTTTGTCGGAACCCTTCAGTGGGTGTTTCGGGAGCACCCCCGCCACTACCAGGATGAGCAGAGGAGAATCAGGCTAGCGTCGGGCCATCTCAGCCAGACGTTGAGAAGGGATTTCCTAGACAATCTGCGACTCAAATTCGATGGAAGTGAAGAAAACATGACGTGGGGAGATATGGAGGACTGGCTCTGGAGCAATATCAACAATCCCCGAGGTCGCACCCGGAGTGCATACACCAGCCTGACCAAGCTTAAGCAAAAGCCCGGCCAGTCATTCCGGGACTTCTTTCGGCAATATCGTGCGATTGAAAGCGAGTTCCCTCAAACTGTTCCTGACTGGCTACGCATTGAGATGTTTCTCTTCTGCTGTAACAAAGATATCAAGGATCTCTTTCGATCCCAAAACTACCCCAAATCGTGGAACGACTTGGTAGAAAAGGGCCATGAGTATTGTCAAGCGATACTCCGCCCCAGCCGAGGAGGCGTCCCAACCTACATGGGCACCGTTCTTGTGTATATAAATAACTGGGACCTTTGTCCCCTTGACTTGGGCAGTGGTCAAGGCCAATTGACTCTCCATAACCCTCACATACATGGCATCTTTCCAGTTACATGTGACAAGTATGACGACGATTTCCATGACAAGGGTTACCAACCCGACCGTAGCGCCGGTGATCCGAGGTCGACAGAAACGAATGGTGAAGAGGGTGCATCTTCAAGGAAGGAGAAGCCTGGCGCCTGTTTCAAATGCGGGAAGCCCGGTCACATACGACCAAAGTGCACCGAGCCTGATTGCAAACGATGCGGTGACGGCAGACACACTACGGCCCGTCACTCCGACCCGGTTACGGGTGCCAATGGGATACGAAGGATTCAACAAGAACCGGAGGATAAGGATTAGGAACCACACCGGCTCCTGTCTCAGAGCGGTGAGAACTGGATACCCTACCAGTTGCGACAGGATGGCCGGTGGTCCAAAACATGGCTGGCTTTGCTTGATCAAGGCAGCCACTACAACCTGATCTCCAAGGCTGCTCACTCAACGTGATTGGCAGCGAGTGGAACCAACGTTTGAGGAACCCGAAACGGCAGACCATAGCCGGATTGACACAAAAGGAACTATCCACGTCTTGCTCAAGGCAAGGGATAGCTGGGGAACCGAGAAAATTCTTCGGGTCTTCTGCTTCGTCTCATCTGTAGCTGACAAGGAAGGACTTTGGCTGGGCAAACCCTGGCTAAAACATATCAGTCTGTTGCTGGAGAGGGCAGATCACCTTACCTGGGCTTTCGCTGCGCCCCCGCAAAGGACATCGTTCGTCCGCGGCGCGAAACAAATCAGGCGTCTCGCGAAATCTCACTTTGGTATACCCCTTATCCACGAGAACAACAACGAAGCGGTGACTCCTTTAGAAGACGCAGCCCCGCCAGAAGTGCCTTTAGCATACCGTGATTGGGCAGACGTCTTCTCGGAGGAAGAGGCTGCTAGGTTACCCCCTCTTTCAGGGCGTTCCCATCCAATCGACCTCGAGGATGGGCAAATACCCCCTCCAGGACCCATCTATAATCTGTCAGAACATGAGATCGCGGTATTACGCGAATACATCGCTTCGGCCCAGGCGAAAGGATGGATCCGACGATCAATCAGTCCTGCAGGCTCTCCGATTCTCTTCGTTCCTAAAATGGGAGGGAAACTACGGTTATGTGTCGACTACCGTGGGTTGAATAAGGTGACCAAGAAGAACCGAGCGGCTTTGCCATTGATCTCGGGGATCTTGGACCGACTGGGTAGAGCTAAAGTCTTCACCAAGCTTGACCTAAAAGACGCATATCACCGACTCCGGATTCGCGAAGGGGACGAGTGGAAAACAGCATTTAGGTGCCACTATGGCCATTACGAATACCAGGTAATGCCATTTGGGCTGGTCAACGCTCCCGCCTCGTTCCAGCAATACATCAACGATGCACTGGAAGGCCTGGTTGACATCATCTGTGTTGTCTACTTGGACGACATCCTCATCTTCAGTGAAGACCCGGAACAGCATGAAGGTCATGTCAAGGACGTCCTGCAAAGGTTGCGAAAAGCCGGACTTTACGCCAATCTGAGTAAATGCGAATTCTCGGTGAAGAAAGTCTCCTTCTTGGGGTTCGTGGTCGACGAAGAAGGAATCCACATGGAAGAAGAACGGGTCCATGCTATCACAGAATGGCCAGCACCCCGTTCTGTAAAAGACATACAGGTTTTCTTAGGGTTTACTGGGTTCTACCGCCGCTTTATCAAGAACTACAGCAAGATCGTGTCTCCGCTCACCGATCGTCTCCGCAAGGGTGCATCGAAGCCCTTCAAGCTGGATCCAAAAGCAATGAGGGCTTTCGAAGATCTCAAGACGGCCTTCACACGGGCCTGTTCTCAGACACTTCGATCCTTCCAAGGCAATACGAATCGAAACGGATGCGTCTCAGTTCGCTATCGGAGCAATAATCTCTCAACTGCACACCGATCGATGGCACCCCGTAGCGTTCCTTTCGCGGAAGCTTCAGGACGCAGAGACAAGATACGCAATCCCGGACTGCGAACTGCTAGCTATCACAGAAGCTTTCCGCTATTGGCGCCACTACCTTGCCTATACGGAGCAGAAGATCACCGTTTTGACGGACCACCTGAACCATAAGTACTTTATGTCCAAAACTAAGCTGACCAATCGACAGATGAATGCACTGGACCAGTTGTGCAGCTTTGACTTTGAGATCCTTTACCGACCGGGCTTGAAGAATCCTGCGGATGGATTATCAAGACGGCCGGACCACGAGGGTGATGAGAACGGCCGGGCTGCGAGATCCGTGCGTTCCGTCATTCCTGAAAAGTTTGCCCAGCTGTTTCCCTGTGAACCTGCGGAAGGGGACCGTGTGTGTTCAAGACAGGCTGCTGGTATTGGCGATCAGTCCGGTTCGCGACCGGCTGTCCCTGTCGCCCTGTACATGTTGACCGGCTGTTTCCCTGTGAACCCGCGGAAGGGGACCGTGCGTGTTCAAGACAGGCTGTCGGATTTGGCGAGCAGTCCGGTTCGCGACCGGCTGTCCCCGTCGCCCTCGAAAAGATTGATCGGCTGTTTCCCTGTGAGTCTGCGGGTAGGGACCGTGTGCACTCTAGACAGGCTGTCGAATTACGCGATCAGACCAGGTCGCACCTGGCTGTCCCTGTCGCTGATGGAAGAGCTAAGCTCGACCGTCTCAGGCGTGTTGCACGAGTCTTGAGGACGTCGAGGACGACATCTCAGGAGGAGGCACCGCTGTAACGGCACCAGCGTTACAGGAGTCACTCCAAGAGGCCCTGCTGGCGGCACAGCAAGGGGACGCCTTTGTTGTCCAGCAGAAGCAGCTTGTTAGTGTCCCTGACAGCGCTACCGCCGGTGGGCTCTCGTCAGAAGTCTGGAGCACCAATGACGAGGGGCTGTTGTGTTACCGCGAGAAGATCTTCGTGCCTGTGGGCTTGAGAAACGAGATCCTAGTGCTGTTTCACGACGATGAGGTTGCCGGCCATCAAGGCGGAACCAAGACTTGCAAGCGGATTCAGGTGCAGTATTACTGGCCCGGATTACGTCGAGACGTGCGTCGTTATGTCTCTACCTGCCGCGAATGTCAGCTCGCAAAGCCGAGGCATCATAAGCCGTACGGGCTGCTAGCGCCACTGCCGGCGCCAAGCCGTCCGTGGCAAGAGATTTCGATGGACTTCATCACGGACCTCCCGCCGGTCCGATGTGAGAAGAAGATTTACTCCAGTATCCTGGTCGTGGTCGACCGCCTGACCCGCTACGCACGATACATTCCGGTGTCGTCGCGCATATCCAGTGATGGCTTGGCAGATGTGTTCCTGAGGGAAATCTTCAAGCATTATGGAATGCCTGATGGCATTGTCAGCGATCGAGGGAGCCTATTTACGGGGCACTTCTGGGCCACGTTTTGCCATTTGCTTCATTGCAAGCGACGCCTCAGCACGTCTTTTCATCCTCAGACTGATGGTCAAACCGAGCGGGTCAACCAGACGATCGAACAGTACTTACGGACTTTCTGCAACAAAGAGCAGTCAGATTGGATGGACAAGTTGCCATTGGCGGAGTTTACGTATAACACCTCATACCATGACACGGTGAAAGGAGCTCCAGCCGAGGTTTTGATGGGCTATCAGCCACGGTCTAAGGGTCATGTCAAGGGACAACTCGAAACCTTCAGCATTCGCGCCATGGACCGAGTCCGAGGCCTCAGAGAACTTCACGAACGTACGGCCCTCCTTATCACGAGAGCCCAGGAGCGACAAGCGCGACACTATAACAAGACTCGACAGCAAATGTCCTTCGAGGAGGGTGATTGGGTCCTTATTTCCACCAAGAACCTTCCGTTGAGACGTCCGACCAAAAAGCTGACTGACAAGTACGTCGGGCCATACCAGATTGACCAAGTCGTTGGGGTCATAACTAGCCTACCGCCTACGCCTGCCTTCAACAGTCAAGATTCACAATGTCTTGCCTGTCAGCAGCTTGGAGCTCTATCGGACTCGAAATCAAGAGCCTATTGAGCCTGAGGATCATCCGTTTATACCCGAGTCTACCTATGACGTTGAAAAGATTCTCGATCATCAAGGGCCGAAAAGTCGTCGGAGGTATCTTGTGAAATGGAAAAGACATGGAGATGAAGAGAACTCTTGGGTGTCCAGAAGCGACTTTGTGGATAAAGCGTTTCTGGCGGACTACGACCAGTCTGTCTTGACAAGAACTTAAGAGTTCGGGACGAACTCTTCAGGAGGAAGGGGCAACCTGTCACGCGCCTAAAGTGCTTGACCACGGTAGATGGCTGGTTGATTCCAACCACTGGCTGGAGTGACTTTTCCAGGGAAAAGCACGGGGCTGGGAGGCCTCTCGTGGTTATAAAAGTAGGGTTGCATAGCACCTGATGGAGCTCGTCAGAGATCAATGAATTGAATGATTGACCCCCGTTCCTCACTCTCTGTTTAGTTGTGTGTGCGCCTTACACGTAGACCTCACAAGCGGCTCTTCTCCTCGAGATATTTTCCAACGATTTGTCGACTCAATTATTTCTTGGCAGCCTTTTAGAGACCAACCCCATTTTCGCAGGAAACCAGAGGTAACTTCCCAGCTTTCAGGTCGATGGGGGGCACCCCACACAATGATGCCATTCCGATTCGCAGTGAGGTCATCCTCGTCCCCGTAATAAGGCGCTGGTTCTTCTGCAATGCTTGGCTTCTGTTTGCACTGGGGTCCCGAAAAGCATGAAGGATCGACAAGATGGCCAACCAGGTCGTTAGCGAATTCTGCCCAGCTAAAGCGACCCTCCTGTTCGATCAGATTATCGCGAATACTTGGAAAGGGTAGTAGATCGATACATGTCGCGTGCATAACGGTATTCTGTAACCGCGTCGGGCGAAGAGACTTGGGAAGGTCACTCGCAGTTGACATGATGACTGCACGACCAGGAAAGCTTGTTCAGCAGGAATGACCTGCAGCCCTCAGTTCCGTCACATTTCGCGAGATAGGAAGTAAGGCCCAGGAGTACAACTTTGTTATCAAAGAGGCCGCGCAGTACGTTGACGTGAATCAGATGTAACAGATGATCCTGCGTAGGGGAAGGCTTAAACTGGCAAGCTGCCACTAGGATGTCGAGCCAGGCCTTGTTGTCCCGCTCCCCTGCTTTCGTTGGGACAGGCTCTTTGCTTCTGTTAGTTAGGGCAAACTTTGCTGTAGAGTCATGCGGCTCGTGGGATCGAGCAGATATCGTACCGCCATCGGTATCGGCGGCGTGTTGATAGGTGTAGCGCCATCGGTCTACTTGATATGGGCGCGGGTCGTCTGTTTTGGCTTGGGTTTCTTGTTCTCTTATCCGCGATCCTGCGACGATTAGAATCGACGATTTCAATACCAGCCAATACATTAAGCTGGGGACTCAGAGCTCGCGCACTTACTCCGTGCTCGTTGGTTAAGACGGTTTTGCAGTTTCTTGCGCTGCTTCCGCTCCTCAGCGCCCTCGGCGGATTGCATCAGCCTGAAGTCCGGGTACGAACAAACTAATTTATCAGATGTCGGATGCTGAAGCTTAAAGCCGAGATTGTTGACCTGAGTAGACCTGAGTATTTAGATGGGAAAGCGCAGGGTGCAATGATGCAAGAACTTGACTTCAAAAGGATAAAACTGTCATCCAAATCATAATGGAGCATTAGGCGTCTGATATAAGTTATGGATGGGTATTGACGGGTAATGTGGGAATGGTATTAGTCTATTGTACTCATCTACCTAGCTTACGTACACAGTCACGTGTACGGCTGAGGCCACAAAGCTAGCATCGTGGCCTCCTCCCCCTTTTAGATAGACAATCCTCATAGCATATTACGACACACCGGTTGAACGCAGTTCCCTGTTTGTCTCATGCTCGAGCCCTGCCAACAGGTACCTTAATATAGCTGTAACTTAAAGTGGGTCTTGTAGCATATTCGACTGTAAGTGGCAAAAACTGTCAGCCAGCTGTAAGAACGCTAACAAACTCTACTCCGTACAAATGGCACTAAACTTTAATTTTAGTATGTTCGAGCGGAGTGGGTTGACAGTGGATCCACTACAGGGGGGCCTCAACGTCGGCCAATCCCCGTGACAGCTCCACAGTCACGGGGCATTGAGGCCTCCTAGGTAGTCATCGTGTGCAGTTACCGGAAGTTCCAGGGGTGGTTAGCCACCCCTCCCGGGCTCATAACTATCACGAAAAAGAGAGTCACCTGCTGTTATAGGCGTACACGTTAATTGACGCATATGGTACAGGCAGGCGCAGGCTTCGCGACACCGGCGGCGCGTTAGAAGGCCTTTCGTTCCTCAAGGCATTAATCCCCCCCCCGTTCTTCACTCTCTGTTTAGTCGCAATCACGTCCCGAAAGTCCTGTGACTCTCGCGAAAATGATACCTTTAGGCTAGCTAATGTGGCTGTAACCTTCATTAGGTTTAATTGGGTCTCGCAGCCCATCCGGCCGCGAATGGCAAAAACCGTCAGCGGGGCACCGTAAATGACGCTAACCAAAGTCACTTATAGCGAACTGTCAGAGGGAGCAGACCGACGGTCAAATCCACGCACTTATAAACCCTAGTGAAAGAGGCAGGTCACACACAGGGACTTGAGTCGGGTATCGATGCAGTAACTTAACACGGCATCCGTAGCAAAGTGGTTAGGCGCGCATATCAATTGCCCCGTATAAATACCCCCTCAATGTCGCACAGATATATAGAAAACATGCATCATCCTTTGGACTCAATTGTGCCTGCCCTTATCCTTCTGCCCGCACTCTCAGCTTGCTGAGACGAACTCCTCATAAGACAACCCAGTGTGTAAAAAGCTTACAAAGGTTCGAGGTAGAACCGCCCTGAGCCTCTTCCAGATTTTAACCGGATATTATAATTTCAGTCACTCTCCTTGTCCCTCTTTCAATCTCGCCATGGTCACCCTATCAGCTGCCGAAGCTTCCAATGCCAAGATCGCCACCAGTCTTCCAATTGGAATGGTAGCAGTCTTTGTCGGTGGTACCAGCGGCATAGGTGAATATACCCTCAAGAACTTCGCTCAGAATGCCAAGAACCCCAGAATATATCTCGCTGGCCGGTCCCAAGACGCGGCGAACCGCATTATTTCCGAATGCACCAAGCTCAACCCGGATGGACAGTACATCTTCATTCAGTCCGATGTCAGTCTTCTGAAAAATGTCCTTCCTGTATGCGAGCAAATTCTATCCAAAGAAAAGTGCATCAACCTCTTGTTTCAGACCCAAGGAGGTCTGGGAGTAGAGAGTGAGTCTCGCATGGGAAGCTTGCTTCGAGCACATTCACGGCATTATGGCTGACACCTCTTTGTAACAGAGACGTCGGAAGGGCTTTCCCGGGCTTACGTGCTCCCATTCACCTCCCGCATTCTCTTTGTGCTCGGCCTCCTGCCCGCTCTTCAAAAAGCCTCAGGGCTCAAGAGAGTTGTTTCCGTCTTCGCAGCTGGCTACGAAGGCCACTTTGACGAAAACTATTGGTCTGAATATGTAACCAAACAGCCCATGAAGTCTCGTGGACATTTAGCGGCCATGATCACCATGGCGCACAACGTGCTGGCCAGGAAGGCCCCCGATGTGAGCTTTATTCACAATTTTCCGGGAGGCGTGAGGACTGGATTTGGCAAAGACGCCAAGGGGCTCATGGTCCTGGCCCGCATGGCGTTCGCAGTACTTGGGCCCTTGTTTCTAAAATATCGCTCTCCGGAGGAGTCATCAGTGCTGCAGTTATACTGTGCTACCAGTGCCGCATTTCCACCCGCGACTGGCGACGCTGCCGGGATTCCTCTTTCGGAGCATGTCCCCATGTCCGCAGGCACTGATGGAAAGCCAGGGAGCGGCAGTTATAACATCAACGACAATTGCGAGAAGGTGTCTCATAGTGTCGAAAAGCGCCTTGCTCAAGCGAAGGAGGATGGTGTCGAGGAGAGGCTTTGGGCACATGTCCTTGGTGAGATCAAACAAATAACTGGCAAAGTCTTGTAGATAGTCGCCGAGGGTCAGGAGAAGCGGTTGAAAGTATGTAATCAGGTCTGCTGCGAAGCCGCCCGTAGGACCTCTAGAGGTTCCCTGCATTCTGAATTTCTGATGCCCCTGCTGAGACAGCCAGCCAGGACTTCAGGCGTTGCTGATGCGCCGGCTGAGACAGTCAGTCCGGCCGTCGAGGAATGTCATGGAAATCGTCGTCATACTCATGGCCCTTTTCTCAGCGCTGACCCCAATTCAAGTATCAAGTCAAGCATATCAAGTAAGTCAAGTAAGTTGACAATCCATTGTATTTCAAGTAAGCGAAGCAGTCGCTTGATCATATAGTACTGGAATAGCCACCTGGTGTCGTTGTCAAGAACAACGTCGACAGGTTGTTGCTTGCGAATTTCGGGATCCTCAGAAGCTGCAAAGAAGTCCCGTTGCAGTTGATGAAGCAGTTGAGTTAGCATGTCGGATCGATGCACCCAAACAACAAAGTTGTAACGGTCTCAACTGAGTGTGTTGACAACTAGCTGAGCGACTGCGACGAGTATCCTAAATGTGACGGTACAAGTGCACGAACAAGGTCGGGTGCGACTTGGGTAAAGTGATTGTCTACGAAGAGAGAAGGAGGTTCCTAAGGAAGACTCTGACTTTCGCTATTTACATGAATCAAAGTGAGACATTTCATAAAGTATGAAAGTCACATGATCGTTCCCTCACACATGGGCCTCCCTTACTCCATCGCTTCTGATTCTTCCACGTCTTGCTGAGCCTGTAGGCGAGCATTTTGCACTTCTTGTTTCGTGGGTCTCGGTTTGTTTTTGCTGTGCTTCTCGAAGTCTCTGATGGCGATGTGAGCGTTGACGACGTTCTGTAGTGGTTCCCATGTTGCCTGCTCAAGGTCGAAGCCTCTCCATAGTATATGGTACTGGAAGCCTTTCTGTTTTGTGCGTTTCGAGTCCAGTATTGCTTCAATCGCCCAGAGTTTCTCCCCTTTGCATCTAGCGTTATTGGTGGGGCGGTGTGTTGTATTGGCCGGGAGCGGGTCGTTTGGTGACGGTCGTAGGAGGTTGGCGTGGAATGAATTGTGAATTGAGTCTAATTCATGTGGCAACTTCAGTTGGTAGGAGTGAGGTTGAGCACGCGCTCGATTCGAAAAGGGCCAATGAACTTATGATCTAGTTTGGGGATGGGTCTGGCCGAATCGATGTTGCGTGTGCTAAGTAGCACCATGTCTCCAACTCGGTACGCTGGCGCCGGTGATCTATTTGCGTTGGCGAACTGTTCTTGTGAGGCTTGAGCTGAGAGCAGGTTTGTCCGAAGTAGACCAGTGATTTCTTGCATCTTGGCGACAAATTCGTTCCCCTCGTTGCAGCGTTCTGCCAGGTCTTTGGATGCCGCGAGTGGTATTGCGCGAGGGGGACCAAAGCTCATTCGGGGGTGGTAGCCTGTGTTCGCAAAAAATGGAGACATTCCCGTTGAATCGCTAACAACGTTACGGGCTGCGAATTCGGCCAATGGGAGCCACTCGTCCCAGTCGTCCTGAGCAAAGCTAACATACTGGCGAAGGTATTGTTCGAGAAATGAGTTAGCGTTTTCCGTCTGGCCGTCAGTTTCGGGGTGATATGCTGTGGAGAGGCTGATATTGATCTGTAGGCGGTGGCAAACCGCTTTCCAGAATTCCGAGACAAACAGTGGTCCTCTATCAGATACGATTGAATCCGGTAGTCCATGGAGTTTCCAGACATCTCGTACGAAGAGCGTTGCCAAGTCATGTGCTTTCATGTCGGTCTTGCAAGGCGTGAAATGTCTGTCCTTTGACAGCCTATCGACTACCACCATGATTGCGTTGAATCCACGAGCTGTGCGCTGAATTGGGCCAATGAAGTCAACGGACAAGTCCCTCCATCTTTGCAAGGGAACTGGGAGCGGTTTCAACGTCCCCTGGTACCGTAACCGGGAGGTCTTGTTCCTCAGGCATCCGTGGCAATTGCGTGTGAATTGTTTCGTATCGGCGCTAAGCCTTGGCCACCAATAAGAGCGTGAAATGAGTTCGTATAGCTTGTTTTTCCCGGGGTGGCCTGATTCGACGCTGTCGTGGGCGAGTTGAGTGAGAAGGGTCCGTAGTTCGCCTGCGGGTACGTATAGCCTCTCTCGGAAATATAATCGGCCTTCGTTTATCATGCATTCCGATAGAGAAACTTCCTTCGAGTGAGGAGTGCCATGGGGTTTGAGCATCTCGTCCCTGATTTTCATCCACCATTCGTCCTCCTCATAGCCCTTGTCTAGAAGTCTTGTGATTCTGTGGTTGATTGGTTCTGGCTGAATTTCGTCAAGAATGGCGGGACATAGTGCAATTTCTTGTTCCCAGGAGAGATTGGCAAAGAGTTCTGAGAGCTCGGGTCAAGCTTTAGTTGTTCTTGTACGGAGGAGTCTACGTTGCAAGGCTTAAGCAGCGACTGTTGTTGGTACTGGATGCGGTCGTCATTTTCATCTTTCGGCAAGTCTTGTGATCTTCGTGTGAGTGAGTCAGGTTTTCCGTTCTCTTTCCCAGGCACTGACTTGATAGCGAATTGGAACTGTGATAGGAATTCGCTCCACCTGACTTGTCGTCTTGAAAGTTGCTTGGTTGTCATGAAATATCGAAGGTTGGCATGGTCAGTGATGACTGTAATCTGGTGGTGCGTGCCTTGGAGTTCGGGTCTCCAGCATTCGAAGCAGCGTACAATAGCCAAAAGTTCTTTGTCATAGATCTCGTAATTGCACTCAGCGGGGTCGTACTTCTTGGACATGAAAGCCACTGGGTGTAGCACTCCTGATCATCTTCCTGGGAGAGGATGCCCGAAGAGACAAAATCGGATGCGTCGCATTCGACAAACACTTCTCTTGCGGGGTCGAAGTGTCTGAGGATTGGCGCTGAAGTGAAGCTATTTTTGAGCATATCGAATGCTTCTTGGCACGATGAAGTCCAGTTCCATTTGACTAGTTTCCGTGTCAGGGCAACAAGTGGTCGTACGATGCGTGAAAATCCCTTGATGAACCGTCTGTAGAAATTCGAGAATCCTAAGAAGGCTTGAACATCTTTGACGTTGATAGGGGCCTCCCAGTTGATGAGACAGTCGACTTTCTCTGGGTCCATCCGTACTCCAGTGGTTGAGATGATCATGCCCAGATATTTAACTTCAGTAGTCTCAAATTCGCATTTCTTGACGTCAAGTTGTAGGCCTGCGGCTTCAAGTGCTTGAAGTACTGATTTGACGTGGAGTCTGTGGGTGGCGAGGTCGTCTGAGTAGATGAGAATGTCGTCGATGTAGGCTGTGCAATATCTATCAAGGAATGGGCGTAAGACTTCGTTGATTCGAGCTTGAAAGGTAGCTGGGGCGTTTGATAGTCCAAAGGCATCACCATGCTCTCGAAGAGACCATATCTTGTGTTGAACGCCGTCATCCACTCCTGACCCTCCTTGATGCGTATTCGATTGAACGCTGCGACGACATCGAGTTTGGTGAAATACTTGGCTTGGCTTAGCTGAGAAAGTGTCTCCTGGATTAACGGTAGCGGGTAGCGGTTCTTGATGGTTATCGCGTTAAGAGCTCGGTAGTCCACGCAAAAACGAAGGCCCCTCCTGGCTTCTTTGCAAATAACACCGGCGAGGCCGCCGGTGAGGTGCTAGCGCGTATAAAACCCTTGTCAAGGTTTTCCTGAAGGAATTTCCGGAGGACGAGAAGTTCGTCTTGGGACATCCCGTACAGAGGTCCATGTGGTGGAGTCGTTCCAGGTTGAAGTTCAATTTCGTGGTCGCAGTCTCGGTGTGGGGGGAGTTTATCCGCCTCTGATTGGTCGAATGCCTTCAAGAATTCATGGTAGTGTTGTGGTACTTTTGTTGCAGGATCGATCAAAGTCTTGGGTTCGAGGGCTTTGTGAATGTCTTCGAGTGATGCCCTGAAAGGTACATATCGGCTGCTATTTTCCGGGAAGCTCGGAGTTCCTGTGTTTGTTGGTCCTTGGGGTTAAGGAGGTGATTCCGTCCTGTAGCTGGAGCTCTCGGTTCATCTTGTCCATGTCTGTGAGTGCAGAGTCGAATCGGACCCGTCGGCGTGTTTTAGGTTCTACGAAGGTGGAGGCTTCTGTGATGACCCCAAGTTCAGCCAGCCTTTGTCGATCTCATACAGTGATAATGAGAATACGTCGACGTCGCGGTTTTGGTCAGCATGTGGAATGCGGCTGCGCCGACTCTTCGGGGATTGATGGGCGTGGCAGTATAGTCGTGGTTGCAGAACTTGACAAAGAGGGAGCTCCAGAAACAGGAAGTTGGTATTGTCCTTTCTCCATGCAGTATTTGCGGCAGTGATCAGAGTTGAAAGTGACCACATTCGTGCTCCAATTGACGATTGGGTTGTGATCTGTTAGCCAGGGTTTTCAAGTATGACATTATACTTCCCAAGCTTCGTTACGTAAAAAAGCATCTTCTCCTTGTGTCCCTTGATGTCCATGTTGAGCTTCACCACATGAGTGATGTCGCCAGCCGAGGAGGGTCTTCCATCGACTACGTTCAGCCGGCGACGGTTTCGTAATTCATAAAGCGTGAGTTTGTTGGTGTGCGCGAAGGATTCGTCTATAAACCCCTTTCCGGTGGCACCTGAGTCAAGCATTGCTTCGGTTTTAATCGGAGTGGAATTGTCTTCGATTAGGTTACAAGGCAGTAGCAAATGAGCTTGGTTG